TTTAAAAAAAGTAAAATAAAAAATTTTTACTTTTATATAAAAAAAAATTCAGTAAATAAATTTAACATTAAGATTTAATATTAAAAATAAATATAAAAACAATAATAAAATTTATCATTATTGTATATTAAGATAATTTTAAGTATTAATTAATAATTTTGCAACTTTTTATATAATAATATACATATTTAGATTATATCAATAGTAATAAATAATAAATATATCATAATATTTTAGATTATATTAATAAGCAAAAAATCTGCTATATATATGTAGTATATTTTTAGTAAAGCATTTTGAAATTTAGGTAAGTTTAGTATTTGTCTGGAGATTGAATTTGAAATTTAAAATTTGAAATTTGAGATTTAAAATTTGAAATTTAGGATGAAATTTAGAATTTGAGATTAAGATTTGTTTAGTTTAACTATTTAGAAATTTTAAACTAATCAGATAATCTTATTTGTTTAAATTTGGCTATAAACAAATTTCAAATTTCAAAAGTTTGTTTAATAATTATAATTATAAAAGAAGTAAATAAAGTTAATATTAAAAGCATTATATAAAGATTTTGTATTTAAATATTTAAAAAAAAATGCATTTATAAGGGGTGTGATAACCTAGTGAAGTGAATAGGTTATCAACTCCCAAGTGACAAATCTAATATTCAAATTTTAGTGATAACAAAAATTTGCAATTCTTTATATATTATGATTAACTGTCTTCTGTAATTGGTTAAAATTAGATACCTATAATCTGTGTCATACTAGCATAACTGAAAGGTCTAGGCATTCATACAATATTGTATAAAGAAACACAAACTGGTACTAAATAGTATGAATTCAAGATAAGTCCTTAGGTCATATAAATTACAAAAACCAGATAAAAAGATAGAAGTCTACTTTAAAAAACCTGAATAGAAAGATAATCTGAACTTTCAACAGTATTACTATAAAGACTAGACCTATGAAATAAAACTAGAACTTATAAAACTAAGTAAATGTATTGGTCTTTGAGAAGGGATCAGATAAACTAACTAGGCTGCTAGAATTTCTAAATTTTAGAAGAAAGAGATACATGTTAAAAAATATATAAACCAAAGATATAGTTATGATCTATCGTAGTTTGATCAAACTTAAATTAAATACCAAAGTAGTAGGAATATATTGTGCAGTCAGTATTAGAGTTAAGATGAACTCTACAAGAATATAGCAGTTTAATAATATACTTTGATCATCAGTATTGGTCTTAACTATAGTGATACCAGATCAGTTATAAGAATGAGATATAGAAGATTCTGAAAAATTTAGTACAAGATCAAAGGTTCCAAAGAACTGTTTTAAAGACTTAGTAATTATAACATATTTTTAATCTTATTGGTTAGAGTTGTTAGTAAGCAAAGATAAATGAGTAAATACAAAACTAGAGTAGTTAAATAGAAAACCTACTAGCAGGTTTCAGGTATGACAACTAGTATAGAACCTTCAGATAAACTACTTAAATTAGACAATAACTAAAGTTGTACAAGTAACTAGTTGTACACTTTTTTAATGATTACTTCTGTAGTTGTAAAGTAACCATTAGTCAAATCTACTATCAATAAAATTCTGAGTCACAAGTACTTACCTTAATATTTAAAAAAAAATACATTTATTAAAAAGATAAAAGCAAGATATTATTAGAATTAAATAATAAATAATATTAAAATTTTATTTGAAGTTGTGAAATATGTTAATGTTATAAGAAATTTATAAAACAAGAAGTTTTGTATCTAATTAAGATAATTAATTATTTAATTACATTAGTTTGAATATTATTGTACCATTGTTTATAATAAGAAAAAAAACTGTTACTTAATTGCTACTATAAATATCTTTTTAAATGACCTAAATCCAAAACATTATCTGATTACTCTGCTAAATCTGGTACTGCTTTTATCTTAAAAAATATAATAAATTATCATAAATGTTCTTATTATATTTAGTTTAATCAAAGTTCTTATTTTGTTAATAAAATAATATCAGCAATATATGATAAGACTAAAATAAAAAACAAGCTGTTAATAATATATTATCTACAAAGTAATAACTTAATGAAAAAATACAATAAGATTTTATATAAAATGTTGTTAAAATGTATAAGTCAAATTTAGAAAAATTGAGATAATTATTTGTTACTAGGACTATTTGTGTCAAGAATTACAAAGCATAAAATTACCAAACATAGTTCATTCTATTTGTTATATATTAGAAAAATAATTTTGTTTATAGAATTAATAGTAAATATATATCTTATTAATAACTTGAACAAAGATTAGTATAATGTACTAGTTTTAATATAAATCATTAAAATTTTTATTAAGTTATTTAAAACCAGAATTGAAGCTTGAAAAAATATTCATAAGTCACAATTGTAACAAAAATAACATCATAATTAGCAGCATTTTTTGCAAGCTTTTAAAATAAATAATATAGTACTAAGATATTAAATTAAATTAGTAATGCAAATTAGAAATAAACTACTATATAAAAGAAATAAGCAGCTATATCAAATTCAGAAAAAACTAAAAAATAACATCTATAAACTAAAGAATAACAATAAAAAGGTTTTGAATCAAGTAGTTTAAGATAATTAACTTAAACAATATATTAAATAATAAACAGAAATTAAAAATGTCTTAAAAGCATAAGAAATATGCAACCTATTAATTAATTTTTTAAAAAAAGAGATTCAAGCAGAGCTTATCTTTAAAGAAAGAAAAATGTTATAAAAATGTTATAATAAATTAAATAGTATGTAAATTACTTTAAAATTATATAATAAGTTCATAGATAATTTATTAAGCTTTGTACTAATTATAATGTTTATTAAGTTAAAATCAATGATCATAATTACAAAATTTGAGTCTAATAGAAAGTCTATATAAGAAGTTAATAAGAATTTTAGAAAAATTTTTTTTCCTTTTGAACTAATTGTATAATCACATAATACTTCTTTAGTAACAATTATATTACTAAATAAAGAATTCTCTTGCTCATTTTACCTATTTTGGTTTCACTTTTCTTGTGATACAAATAAAGACTAACCTATTAACTAATATACTTTTACTTACCTTTGACTAATAATCTGAACATATTTTAATAATAACAATGCTGTGTTAAATTGAAGACAAGTCCAAGTCATTACACTGGGTAAAAGTTTCAGTTTAGACCACAATACTAACTGTTACTATGATCACAATTCCTATTACCACCAAGCAAGGTCCTTATACTGCTATTGTAACCGCAAAGAATGATATTGCTTCTCAGAACATGAAACATAGTAGTCATCACATCATGTAAATTTATGCAATTATGTCATTTTTACCAACATTAACAAATCAGCCTAAACAGTATTATCATCTTAGCATTTGAACAATAACATGTTTTGACTATTAGTGATGGACAATGACCAAAGTGATTTGGGTAGCTTAATCACTGGTCATTTGTTCTCAGAATTAAACGACTTATTACTTAGTTTTAAATATGTTATAATTTAAATTTAATAAATTATGTGATTAAATGATTATGATATAATATACATAGCATGACAAAATGTCTAAAAAATTAGGAAAAAAATTTAAGTGACTTAGTCATTATTCATCACTGTTGCAATCGAACAGTATCGTTCAAAGTCTTGGTCAAAAACAAAAATTAAAAAATTTTAGATATTTGAACAAATAATTAAAGAATAAGATTCATATAAGTTGCAGACTGCTGGCATAGCCACAGGGTCGATGATGACCAGATAAGGTTATTCGTCAACAAATGATGCTAACATTAAGAAAACCCGGATGGTGGATTAATAGAATACCAGCCTTCTTTTGATCTCCACAAATGACAATATCGTAATGACATATGTTTATATGATACAGAATCATATAAGTCATATGTCATATGATATAAAACTAGGAATCGGAAACCCCGGAGCATAAATAAATAAACCTGTTGTTCAAAAATAGTTTTGCAATCATGCGTCACACGTGCGGACAGACAAAAAATTTCCAAATTACGATATTGGTATGTTTGATTAAGATAATTATACTGATGCATCAAAAAAAAAGTTTTCATAACTTTCGATATGGGTTCGACGTGATATTCTGTGCCAATGCAGAGAATTTATATATCTATGCATCTAGCCAAAGCGAACAGACAGACAAGAACACGTGACATTGTTGATCACTAAGGGTCGTAAAAACATAGTGTCCTCCGCTTCGCTCCGGACAATTATGTAATATTTATATCTATATGATATATCATATGGGATCTTTGCCGCTAAAATGACCCTACGAGCCATTGTTACACAAGAAATTTATTAGGAAAAACATAGTAAATCTATTTTTAGAAAAAAAAATTCCTAGCAAAGATCCCATATGATATTGTAGTATGACAATTCATATAAGTCATATGAGTCATATGACATCAACGTCCAACACTGGCATTTCAGATGACCAATGACCAATGAATTGGTCAATGGTCTGGTCCTTTACGTTTGCAATTCTAAATGACCTGATATACGCATATTTTCCTGCTTCTTATTTGGTCGAGCGTACAATCACGTGATATCAGCTAATGACGAGCCATTTTGTCATTTAGAGTCAAATGACCAGTCATTTTCCACAGAATGATATGCTAAGGTTAAATAGCACTCGACATTTGCATATGAGTGACGAAAAGGGAAAACCTGTAAATCATGAGTGAAATGATTTACAGGTTTTCCCTTTTCGTCGCTCATATGTTGGACAAATGATTATCATATCGATATCCCAAATTTAGGCACAATTGAATACACAACACAGTGAAAATTTCAATATTACTCACCTAAGTACGTACATACGTACTTTGTTTCTGGTATCGTGAAATTTCAACATCACTTCGTTCCTGATACATAGATTGTCTCTTCGAATTCTTTTATTGACTTTACAAAAAAAAGTTTTTATCGTTTGTCATAACCGAATAATAAACATGTCCAAAAAAGTTGTTGTGTATAATATTTCAGCATGTGTTTCTGAAAAAACGGGTTTGTTTCAAAAGAAATGTCTACTATTAAGAATCTCTAGTATTTGCAATATTTGCAAACCTTACTTACATTTATGTTACGCAAATTAGTTAAGGATTTTTTCTTATTCTGTGGAAAGATTGAAGAATTTAAACTTATAAAGTTTGTTTCTTAATTTTATCTTGACTCATCCTAGAATTTGCTAATTATATGTTTGATTTATTTACATAGGGAAGAAAGTAGCGACAAACAAATTTCCTATATTACATTTGAACGCGGTATATATAAGGCCATATAATGTTAATTTTTAGTTCTCATAAAATTTTGAAAAATGACCCAACAACCGGCTTTCATTTTATTTTCAAGTATATAAAAATCACTAAATTTTTTTGTGGATAACCAAAAAACTCATCTGAATAGTAAATATGGTCGAAATTTTGATCCCGCCGGGTTATGAGAACCAATTTGTTAGGTCAAACCTAATTTCATCCAACATTATAGTTTTAACTTGTACTCATCCATAAAATAGAAATTGCTGCAAAGACTGCCAAAATGTTAACTAACGCTGTTATTGGTGACTCTGAAATAACCGTCAAATCTGCTGATGACAGTTCAACTGATGGTATAAGTCCAGGGGATAAGGTTAAAAGTGATAAAGAAAGTTTTAAGGTATTTTTCTTGCACAACAATGTTAATTTCTTTTTTTAAAATTTAGCCTTCGGTGAAAGTTAAATAAATTTTTATTGATTTTTTTTAATTAAAAACAAGAGAGTTATTGTGTATGATATTTCAGCATCTGTTTCTGAAAAAATGGGTTTGTTTCAAAAGAAATGTTTGCTATTAAGAATATCCAGTATTTACAACATTTACAAACCTTTACTTACATTTATGTTACGCAAATCAGTTAAGGATTTTTTCTTGTTCTGCGGAAAGATTAAAGAATTTGAACTTATAAAGTTTGTATTTTAATTTTATTTTGGTCATCCTGAAATTATCTAATTATATGTTCGATTTATTTACATAGGGAAGAAAGTAACGATAAGCAAATTGCCTATATTACATTTGAACACGGTATATATAAGGCCATACAAAGTTAATTTTTTGGTTCTCATAAAATTTTGAAAAATGACCCGACAACCTGGTTTTTGATTCTGTTTTCGAGTATATAAAAAAAACATGTAAACTTTTTTACAGGCACCATTCAAAAATTTCACCTGAATAGTGAATATGGTCTTTTTTTACAAATTTTCCAGAACTTGACCTCACTGGGGTTATGAGAACCAATTTGTTAGATTTGCACGGCCGTCCTGACTATAATAAAACCTAATTTCATCCGATATGATAATTTTAACTTGTACTCCATCCATACAATAGAAGCTTATGCAAAAACTGCCAAAATGTTAACTAACGCCCTTATTGGTGACTCTCAAATAATTGTCAAGTCTGTTGATGACAGTTCAACTGATGGTATAAGCCCAGGGGATAAGGTTAAAAGTGATAAAGAAAGCGTTATATTTTTACTTGCACCAAAACGTTAATTTCTTAGTGAATTTCACCTCTGATGAACGTTAAATAAAATTTCATTTATAGGCGATCTGATGCAGATAGCATAGCGAACTTTCACTGCTATTGGCTGATTTTTATAGATCATCTCGTGATACTGCAAAAAATCTTATTGGTTAATCGAAATCGTTTTACAAGAAAGATTTATTGTACGAAAATATTTTATCGCATTAATAAAAACATTATTACCAGATCTCAATAACTCCCAACACAATCAATATTCTGTAATCCAAGTTCTTATTAAACACATTAATATTAAAAAAAAATTAAGGCATAAAGTAAAACGCACGAAAAAAATAAAAGCATGAAAACAGTTACTAATAAAAAATTTAAAACTATGTCGTTCGGTAAATCGACGAGTCTGCCGCTAATCTCTTCCAATTCTTGCTTAACCTACGGTGGCTAAGTCGAAACAGGCGTGTTAGATTTGGCTGGTGGTTCTTATCCATAGGTAAGTACTAGTCTCCTTTTTAAGTCTTTCTTTCAACATATTCTTATGCTAATTCTTGTCTTCTCTTGTATGCCTCAACCCGGATTACAATACGTTGAATTGAGGTTGGAACTTCTATTACGGTACTGGCCTTCTTGGTCACATGACTTATGGCGAACGATAGTGATAACAATGGAATTAACGATAATTTATTAGTCTGGATAGGATTGTACAGTAGCCAACAAAAGTAATGCCTTATTTTTGATCAAAAAATAAAATGTTTATTTATTTAATTTTGATCACATATACATCAAAATTTTGTTATATATTTATTTAATGCTTTACTGAATGATTTCTTACATTTGTGATAGTATTGATTCTTCATGTTATTGAGTCTGCAACTACATGAAGAACTGATATATCCAAATTTAATTATATTTCTTGTAAGATCATTTTAAGATCAGATTTATTTCTTAGAAAGTCATCATAGTTCTGAATATTGTTCTTTATGATCTTCCAAATATTTTTTATAAGGTTAAGTTTAGGAGATTGTGAGGGTCAATTCATATAATCAATGTTTTTCAAATTTAGTTAATCTGACATCTTATAAATTAGAGCATTGTCATGTTAAACAATCAGATAGAAGATATTTAATAAATAAATTGCAACTATAAATGATATAAGTTGATTATTTAACACTTTAATATAAATGTTTTTATTAATTTTTTGTTTGGAACTTTTGTAATCATCAAAAAAAACTATAAGACCTTTAATATTATTAATAAAATATGATTAAATTATTATCAAAATCCTTCTACTTCTAAAATCTGATTACAAACACTCATGTTTATATCTTTTATCTATACAACATTATATACAAACTTGACAAAATTATTTATTTACTTCTATATTTATTTTATTTAAAAAAATAATATATCTCTAATAATAAGTGACTTTATTTTTATTTTGATTATACTATTCTATACATCTTTTTGTATTTCTATTTGACAAAAAATATTTCAAGATAGTAATATAAGAACAAAATCTGATGTTATATAAAATTCTAATTATAGTCTATATATTACATTGAAGTTTTAAATCTTTTACAATTTTAAACAGTAACATATGTCTTTCTTTTAATGCTTTTTTTACTATAATGATCTTTTTTTATTTCTTTAAGACAGAGAAAATCTAGACTAAAAAAAGTTCTTAATTTTTTTAGTCTTTCTGTATTTTTATAAAAACTTTTAAACTATTGTTAGATTATGTTTAATCTTATAAACAACTTGTTCAATATTTATTGTACTAATATGAGCAAAAATTATTCATTTCTTTTTTTTTGTTACTTACTTACATGACATTTTTATTAAAAAAAATTCTTTAATCTATATTTAGTTTCTTCAACATTAATGAAATAAAAAATAAAAAAATTGTCTCAAAATTTATAAGAATATAATATATATAGTCTTTTTATTTACTTATATGAAACAATCTGCAAATCAAATATTATTTTTGTTAGTTACTGTACTTTTATTTTTATTATTAATTGGGTATTTGTTATATATGCAAATATATTTATTTAAGATATTATTATATGTTTTTCTTCATAAACAAAAAGCTATTTATTTATAATAAAAGAATTTATTTACTTTTGAGTTTAATATTTTTTAATTACTTATTTATATAATATCATTATTAAAATCTTTATTTTTATTTTTATAAAATATTCTATATATTGTCAATTTATTCAAAATAATAAAAGTAATAAAAGTAAAAAAAATAAAATTTCTTTTTATGTAATCAATTATTTAAGTAGAGAATGTGACTTTAATTTAATAATTAATTATATATAATTGTGATAATGTTAGAACTAATTTTAAAGCTCATATTATATTATTTAGTTTTATTAACGTTTAAATAATTTTATTAGACAAACCTAAAAGTTTTGCTAAAAAAAATTAAAATAATAAAATAATAAAACTAATAAAATTAGAAAAATTACTAAAAGATGATAAAAATAAAAAATATTAATAGAATTAATAAAAGATAAAAAATTAGTAAAAATTTAAAAATTAAAAAATATTTAAAGAAAATCAAATATTTTTATTATATATAATTTATAGAACTTAATTAGGTATTACTATTTTGTAATGCTTTTATATATTGCATATTAATGATTTTCTAATTAAATTTTATAATTAAAAAAATTTAAAACAAATATTTATTTTGTTTAAAGTACTTATAATACAAAATTTTATATATGAAATTATTTTTTTATTATAATAAAAAAAATTTTTTATAAAATTTTACTTTAAATCTTCTTTTTTTTTATTCTAATACTATCTTAATCTTAACTAAAAAAAAATTTAGTTTATATTTTATATTATTTATATTATATTTAATAGTAAATTATATTTTGTATATATACAGTATATGTAATATATAAGCATATTGTAAAATATAATATATATATTTATTCTAATTTATATATAATATTAAAAAAAAAGAGATACAAATCATTAACTCTTTCTGATGATCACTTAAACCAAAATTACTGATAATAAACTGACAATAACTAAATAATTTATTAAATAAACCTTCTCTGGTCTTTTAAATAAAATTATTCATAATTAAATTTTATATATAAACAGCCTAGTTTTATTCTTCTGAACTTTTGTATAGTCAGATATATTTATTAAACTGCAAAATACTTTATCTAAAATTTTTAATAATCTATTAAGCTAACCTTAGTTGTTATCTTAAAAAAAGACAAAGCTCACTTAGAGCTTCATTTTGATATATTATATATTAATATTGGATTAATATTGAAGGTTTTATACAAAAAATCTTTAAAACTTCTCTACAAAACTTTTGTTTTTTTTTTACAAAAAATTATTTCTTTTTTTAAGAGTCCTGTATTCTAGAATGTCTAGCATCTGCAGATTATTATCAAAATTATATTATTTATTAATTTAATACAAATTTTAATTTTTTTCTATTTTTGGCTCGATTAACTAATACAAAAATTTGTTCAATATTAATCATTGTAACTACTTAGTCTGCATATTCTGTGTCACTTATTTGTTACATTCTTTTATTTGTCACATCTTCTTACTCTCACATCTTTTATTTGTTATATCTACTTAATTGTCATACTCTTTTAATTGTCACATCTTATATTTTTCAGATCTTTTTACATTCAAGATCTTTATTATCTACTTTGTTTTTAATTCTCAAATCTTAAATTATGTCTATTTTAGTCTTTAAAAATTCTAATTCCTATGATATTGATTACTATTATGGTAAATATAAAGATTGTCATGGTGTAGGAATAATTGAAGAAAAACCTCAATCTCTACATGTACTTTTAGCAGATATTAATCTAATCAATTGTAATACTACTAAAAAACATCATTATTTTAAAGTCTCTCAATAATCTATTATTGCTATATGCTTTTGTAAAACATATTATATTAGCTTCATTTTTCAGTTTTATAAAATTTCTCACTCTACTTCTTTTGAATAACCTATGATTCAAACCTCTTCTACTATTTCTATTACTTATTTTAGAAAAATTTCTGATGAACTACCTCAATCACATACTCTGAAATAACAATAATCTGATTTATCTTTTTCTAAACCTCACATACTATTTTCCAGTTTCCAAATATATTCTACATCTTTTGTAATTGTTGCATACTCTCAACACTACTATACATGCCTTATATGCAGAACTAAAAATATTTCTTGTGCGGCTATGAAACAAAGTAGTCATGTTTCTGACTATGCAATCTGCATAATCTTTAAGCAAAACCTAATTCACAGGCTTTGTGTTTCTAGTTTATTAGATATTAAACTTAAACCTTTGGCACAAACCTCTCCTCTTACATTTCAATAACAAATTGTTATAGCCTTAATTAAATCTAAACTAATTAGCTTAAACATTCAAACTTCCTCTTCTAATTCTAAAAACAAATTATTCCTCTTTTTATTCTTAAACAAAAACAAATTCTTGCTCTTATTAAAATCCAACAAATGAAATGTAATAAAAAAATCCAACTTCTTAAATTTTTTCTTTTAAAAAAAAACAAAAAACAATAGCATTCCAAACAACAAAAACAAAAAAAAAAAAACTCAAAGAGATACCAGCAATGACCTTGACTAATTTAAAGAATATCCAGTAACTGACATTATGAAAAACAATACTAAACTTAATAACCCAATTATTTAACAATTATTTACTTTTATTAAATTACATCTCATTAACATCTATCTAGGAAAAATCATTCAACCAGCATCTGATAAAAGTTCTGAATCAAAACTTAATTACAAATATTTAATTAAAACTTTAGTAGACAAAAGATCTAAATTCTTAACCAATTTTATCTATAAAGTAAACCCTTCAATTGACAAATCAGTATCTATTCCAATTAAATTAATCTATTCCACCTTTATTTTTCTTCTTAAAGAATTTATTACAACTTTATTCATTTAATTGAACTATTTAAAAATCTTTGCTTTTCAGAACTCTATTCCTTCATATAC